AAATATTTTGAGAATGATGAGGGCAACAAATGTACAAATGTGCTTGACACAATGGGTATATGTATGGATTGTGATAAGAGTTGTAAGAGCCCCTAATAAAATGATTTTTAAAAAACATTTCATAGTATAAAAAATGAAGTAGTGTGTAAAATTGAAAAAAAGAACGATCAGTTGTCTGTATGCTGATGATTTTATTTCTGGATTTTCAGTTATTTTCCATTGGTCTGAGTATCTGTCATTATACCAATACTATGAGATTTTGACCACTGTGGCTGTATAATATGTGCTAAAGTCAGATAAAGCAAGCCCTCCCACTCTGTCCTTCTTGAGGAGTTCTCTGATAATTGTAGACTTCTTCCTTCTCCATATGAAGTTGGTAATCAGTTTTTCCATTTCTTTGAAGAAAGATAAGGGTAATTGTATTGGGATTGCTTTGAATTTATATAGTGCCTTGGGCAGAACTGACATCTTTACTATATTGTGTCTTCTAATCCACAAGCATGGGATATTCTTCCATTTGTTGAGGTCACTCCTGGTTTCTTGCAATAGTGTCCTGTAGTTTTCCTCATATAAATCTTTTGTTCTTTTAGTCAGTTATATCCCTAGATATTTCAATTTGTGCTTGGCTATTGTGAAAGGTACCACCTTTTTTATCTCTTCTGTGGTCTTAATCTGATGTGCATACCGGTCTGATAGACTTTTGTTTGTTGATCTTGTATCCTGCCACTCTGCCAAGCTCCTCTATTGCTTCCAGTACTCCCTTGTGGAGTTTTGGGGATTTTCCATATATAAAATCATATCATCTGCAAGAGTGGGGACAAGGGGCATCCTTGTCTGGTCCCCTTCTTCAGTGGGATTGTGTTAATCTTTTCTCCATCGACTACCATGTTGGTTGTTGGTTTTTCATATATAGCTTGTATTGTCTTGAGGAATTTTCCTTCCATTCCTATCTTCTCAAGTATCTTAAAAGGAATTGGTGTTGGATGTTGTCTAATGCTTTTTCTGCATCTCTTGATATTATGTCGTTCTTATAGTTTTTCATGTCAATGTGATGAATAATTCTAATGGTCTTTTGTATGTTGAACCATCCCTGAATCCCAAGTATGAATCCCACTTGGTCATGGTGAATTATTTGTTTTATATACTTTTGTATTATATTGGCCAATATTTTGTTAAGGGTTTTTTGCATCGATGTTCATTAGGGATATTGGTCTGTAGTTCTCAATTCTTGTGGGATCCTTGCCCGGTTTTGGTATCAGCGTTATACTAGCTTCATGGAAGAAATTTGGGAGTTTGCTGTCTTTTTCTATGTTCTAGAAGAGTTTGTGTAGGATTGGTGTTGGTTCTTCCGTAAATGCTTGGTAGAATTCTCCAGTGAAGCCATCTGGTGCAGGTGATTTTTTTGTTGGTAATCCCTTGATAACTTTGTCTATTCCTTCTATTGCTATGGGTCTGTTAAGCTTCCTGACGTCTTTTGGGGACAGTCTAGGGAGGGATTGTTTTTCCAAGAATTTGTCCAACATTGGGAATCTCTTGATCAGTTATGCTAGAACCTAAAAAATGGATTCTTGTTTCATAGTCATGTTTGTTGCCATGGGTTTTAAGTAGGTCTGTACCTGTCTCATTTTTGTCCTGAAGATATATATATATTGATGTTATTTAACAGATGTAAACATCTGAATGTTTGCTTTACTCATTTTTAGCCTAATTCTTCTTTAACATTTTATTTTTTGTACTTGGCAGTGTGGCACAGTGAGTTATTAATATACCTATTTATTCTCTATCTTTAATCATAGTGTGCTGCTAAGAAGAAGTTTTATCTCAGAATCATTTTTATAAATTTTTTAGGCTGTATAGATTAGTAGCCCACGGTGATTTTGCCCCACAGGAGCTATTTCACCATGTCTATTATTTTGGGTTGTCATGGCTGAGGAAGGGTTGTTCCTTGCATCTAGTGAGTAAAGGTCATAATGCTGCTAAACAGCACACAGGACAACCTCCTCATAAGATGAATACCAATGTCAGCTACTCTGAAATCATGCAGCCCTGCTGTAGATTTAGTGAGAGAAGACTTTTCAATGTCTCAAGTCAGTCATAGGTGAGGTTAGGGTATGTTATCCTCTGAACGGTAGATGTCACTGTAGCTGAGACGTTTGTTTTTTAGAGAAGCTCTTCCTGAGAAAAAATGATAATTACGATTTGCTTCCTCAGATCCTGCCATTTTTACGGAGATAACTAAAGACTGCGATGAGAATAAAGAAAACAAAACTCCTGAGGGTCCTCAGGGAGAGGTGGAGTGGCTCCAGCAGTACGACATGGAGCAGCGGGAAAGGGAAGAGCAAGAGCTCCAGCAGGCCTTGGCCCAGAGCCTTCAGGACCAAGTACGTTCACTCGCTCCTGCCTCACTGTCCTTTTCCGAAAACTGACATAATTGTGACCTGTACTGAGCACATGCCAGGAGACTGGGCTCTGTTTGTATGCACTAAACCTTGACCAAGAAAAACGAGGACGGGGTTGGGGCTTTCCGTTGGATTTAAAGCAGAAACACTTCTGAGTGGTGCCTTTTTAAAATCTAAATGCAACAAAATGTATTGTTGGCAGATGGTATATTAGAAATCCTCTCCAGCTCAACTTCACTTTGCAATCAGTAAAAAACAGCTCATATGCCACACTTATTTTGTGCTTAGTATTTTAAGACAGTGTGTTAGTTTGGGTCCTTTTCTCAGTATAAAGATGTTACTGTGAATTTGTATGGAAAGTTTTTAGGAAATGTTACCTAAAATATAATTCTCAGAATTTAGGTTATAGGATAACATTTATCCACTCTTCGTTACATAAATGATCCATTCTTTAACTTTCAGTTCTTTGTGTTTCTCTTTGCCGAAGCTGGACTCTCTGCTAGGTGAAGTTTTCCTTTTATGATTGGCCCTGCAGAATCCCAATCATGTTACTAATTTAAAGATTCACCAAGCATTTACTTAGATTGGGTGAATGTGCAGTATTAGTGTTTGCAAATAATCAGACGATGAAATCTGATATTTGTAGCACAGAGGTTCTCAATTTTTACTCATTAAAATTATCTGAAGAGCTGCCCCTCAAACTTCTGGTGTCACTGACCTGGATATGGGTTGGGCAGCTGGATATCTTCATCTTTTTTCCCAATTTTTCCTGGTGATTCTAATATGCAGCCAAGGTGGAGAACTACTGAAAAAACATTTTAGAACCAGCTATCCTACATCTAGGACAAGGTGTGATTTCTTAGAAAATATTCTTTACCATGCACAAAGGGAAGTTCAGCACCACTGTTTCTCATTAATGAAAAAAATTGTGTGTGTGTGTGTGTGTGAGAAATCGCCCAGTTAAGAGGACCCTGTTTTTCCTCAGGTTTGAGAATAGGTTTATAAGATAAAATATCTTGATTTTGGTATACCTGCATCATTCTATAAATAACTAAAAAAGGAGTCTTTCTGGTTTCAGGATAAAGTTTATATATTGGAGTAGCTCCAAGCAATCATATTTCCTCTTAGATAATATTCATTGTTGCTTTTTAAAATATAATATTTTCCTCCTATTATAATGCAGAAAAGCTCTTCCTTCATTTCTTATGTAGTTGAGTAACTTTAAAAGCAAATCCAAAATTGAGAAAAGTAAAACAATTCTGCTTAATTGTATTTTCCTTTATTCATGCATTTATAAATTTTCTCTCAAGATGAAGATTTTTTTTTAATACTTAGCATTTCCCTATTTCATTTTATGCTTCAAGTAGTCATCTAGCTGAGATATTTTTAGATGTTGGAGGGTAGTATTACTTTAGGAAATGTGTCAGAAAAGTAACCCTCAGTGACATTTATTTAGTACGTATGTACCAAGCATCTACTGTGTCTTGGTTTCTTCAGCAAGAAGGAAAACAGACACCTGTCTTTTAATACCTTGTGGGAAACTCCTTACCTTGCTCTAATAGACTGGTTCTGTGGGGATATAGAGCTGGCTTGCCATCACTGTGTAAGTTTAATCAATAACTTCTTTAAATGCCATCGCTTTTATTCTTGTCTCTTTAGGAGGCTTGGGAACAGAGAGAAGATGATGACATCAAAAGAGCTACTGAGTTAAGTCTCCAAGGTGTGGAAATTATTTTAATTATATTTTTAGATGGTAAAATGTATCTTGCATATAAAATGTGTGCCCCGTGTGTTTTAGTAACAGTACCAATTTTTAATAGCTCAAGGTAAGGACAAAGAACCTTAGTGGTTACCTGTGTGTCCCTCCTTTTCACTTCTCTCCCCAAGGAAACCACGCTTAACTCTTTGTACTTTTGCATCAACCAGTAGCTTGCTTTGTAATTGTACCATTATATAGCCATAACCTTAAGTGATATGAAAAACTGAGTAGCAAGGCTAAACTCTGTAAAGTGCAAGAGTTATACTACCACTATTAAATATTAGGAGAAGATAATGCAGCTTCTGTTTTTTCATGAATGATGTGGGGGGGTATGAATAAGTAGTATTCAGAAGCATAAGGGTCACCAGGGTCATGGCACTTGACAGGATTAATAAATAGGTGGACCACGTACTAGAAGTTGACACGGGTATGTGGGTATGGGAGATTTTCTGTTTCAAATGGTCTTTCTCCAGCTCCCATACATGTATCAACTCAGAATACTTTGAGGTACAACAGTGAGTATTCAACGCTGATTTAGATCCAGTGCATGGAGAGGGGCAGAGCAAGAATGTCAGTGGCACACGGTTTAAGCACAGTTACCATTAACCCAGGCTTACAGGGTGGTTCAGTGATAGCACTGATGGCTGGCCCTTGAGTCACATTGCTCCAGTCTTGGTTCCCTACCCCTGCACAGATGCCTGAGCTCTCCTTATCCACCTCCCGGGAGATTCACTGGTGCTTCCTTTGCCTGAACACTTATTTCCATGTCTCCTTCTTCCTCATCCTCATTCTGTGTGTGGTTTAATAGAGAACATCCCTCAGTGGCTTCTTGAAAAGGGGGTATGACTTAAATTTTTTGGAGACATCAATTTGAACTATTCTCTGGAAGTTTTCCCCACCCTTCTTAATCATATTTCAAATTTTGAAGAAGTGTTTTATTTGGTAACTTCCATTTTTGTAAAATTATTTTCTATTATCTATCTAAATTCTGTGAAGATATTAAATAAAGGTTTTTGCTTGCTTGCTTGAAGTTTTCTTCTCACTGTTCTTTTAGAAATTTCCCTCAGATGTATGGTAATCTTTGGCTGTCTTCTCAGTCTTAAGAATAGGGAAGTGGGGGCAATGGTGGGATTCTTTTTCAAATGTTAATGCTCTTAGACCTTTCTCTTGGACTTGCCTGGTTCCTCAAGAGTTTTCCAAGCTCTTGCCTAGAGAGGAAAGACGTGTGGTACTAGAATAGAACTGGAGTGTGGGGTCCTTATCCTCCTGATTTGATACGCTGCTGTCACTTTCTCCCTATTTTCATTGTAGTTCTCAGGACCTCACCTGTGCCTGGCAGTTCTCAGTCCATGCTTTTGTCAGCGCCCCGTAGCATGAGTTCATCTAGGCATCTGTTTCTCAAAAATCTTTCACCCAGTCCCTATTTACCCTCCACTCCCACCTTCACCTCCTTCAGAAGTACCTGGACCAGTCAAGTCTTGAGCCTTCTAAAATTCTGTGGTTTAATACATTGGGTTGGGTCTCAACACTTTTTCCTTTGCTGGAATGGTATTTTTCTAGTGTCTGCTAAGTCAGTGACTTTCCCTGGTAGCTTCCAAAATTCTGATGCTGTGATCCTTTTTTCCTATTCTTATTCTCGAGTGATTTGTTAAATGCTCTGGTTCAAACACACGAGTTCCTACCCCACAGGAAAAAAACTGCGGCTGCCTGCTCCCATAAAATTCATGGTCTTGAAAACCCTGTATAGGGTCACTAAGGGTCAGAACTGACTCAACAGCAGGATGTTTGGCTGGGGATTTTTTTATACTGGGCTTTTTGGGGGGTTTTTTAATCATTTTATTAGGGGCTCACAGAACTCTTATCACAATCCATACATACATCCACTGTGTAAAGCTCACCCGCACATCCATTGCGCTCATCATTCCCAAAACATCTTCTCTCCACCCAAGCCCCTGGCATCAGCTCCTCATTTTACCCTCTCCCTCCCTGCTCTCCTCTCCCTCATGAACCCTTGATAATTTATAAATTATTATTTTGTCACACCTTGCACTGTCTGACATCTCCCTTCACCCACTTTTCTGTTGTCTGTCCCCCAGGGAGGAGGTCACATGTAGGTCCTTGTAATTGGTTCCCTCTTTCCACGCCACCCTCCCTCCACCCTCCCGGTATCACCACTCTCACCACTGGTCCTGAAGGGATCATCAGCCCTGGATTCTCTGTGTTTCCAGTTGCTATCTGTACCAGTGTACATCCTCTGGTCTAGCCAGATTTGTAAGGTAGAATTGGAATCATGATAGTGGGGGTGGGATGGGAGGAAGCAGTTAGGAAGTAGACGAAAGTTGTATGTTTCATCATTGATACACTGCACCCTGACTGGTTCATCTCCTCCCTGCTATACTGTGGTTTTAAAGAAATGAATTATAAAGTAAAACCTATGAAACCCAGAACTTGTGTGAGGCAGAACCCTGCCCGAGAAGGAAACTTTTTAAAAATTTCCACAAATAGCAATACAAAAGTGGTCAAACTGCACCATGTTAGAAAACTCTTTAAGACATAGAGTAAAAAGGCAGAGTCCCATTGACTGCAAGTTCTCACAGGCTCTACTGTGTTTTAAAGCAAGTATATGTTCTAGTGCTTCTGGGGTTCTTCAGTGCCTTTGGGATATTGAAGGAAAATGGGCCTTGGGTTTTTCTGTTTGTTTGTTTAATGTATTTGGGTCAAACTTTAAGAGATTAAATGTTGAATTTTTAAAATCATTTTATTGGGGTCTCGTACAACTCTTTATCACAATCCATATATACATCCATTGTGTCAAGCACATTTGTACATTTGTTGCCATCATCCTCAAAACATTTGCTTTCTACGTGAGCCCTTGGTATCAGCTCATTTTTCCCCTCCTTCCCCCCACCCTCCCTCCCTAACGAACCCTTTATAATTTATAAATTATTGTTATTTTGTCATGTCTTATACTGTACGATGTCTCTCTTCACCCACTTTTCTGTTGTCTGTCCCTCAAGGGAGGGGTTTATATGTGATCAGTTCCCCCTTTCCCTTCCCCTTCCCCTCCTGATATCGCTACTCTCAGTATTGATCCTGAGGGATTTATCTGTCTTGGATTCCCTGTGTTTCCAGTTCTTATCTGTACCCGTGTACATCCTCTGGTCTACCCAGATTTTTATTTGTAAGGTAGAATTGAGATGGTGATGGGGGGAAGAAGGGAACAGTAAAGAACTAGAGGAAAGTTGTATGTTTCATCGGTGCTATACTGCACCCTGACTGGCTCGTCTCCTCCCCGAGACCCTTCTGTAAGGGGATGTCCAGTTGCCTACAGATGGGCTTTGGGTCTCCACTCCGTACCCCCTTCATTCACAATGATATGATTTTTTTCTTTGATGCCTGATACCTGATCTTATCGACACCTCATGATCACACGGGCTGGTGTTCTTCCATGTGTGCTTTGTTGTTTCCCAGCTAGATGGCCACTCGTTCATCTCCAAGCCTTTAAGACCCCTGACACTATATCTTTTGATAGGCGGGCACCATCAGCTTTCTTCACCACATTTGCTTGTGCACCTGCTTTTTCTTCAGATATCGTGTAGGGAAGGTGAGCATCAAGGAATGCCAGTTTAATAGAACAAAGTGTTCTTGCATTGAGGGAGTACTTGAGTAGAGGCCCAATGTCCATCTGCTACCTTAATACTAAATCTATAAATGTATGCACATAGATCTATTTCCCCATCATCATAAATATATTTACATATGTACATGCCTGTATTTAGACCTCTATAAATGCCCTTTGCCTCTAAGTTCTTTCCTCGATTTCCTTTTACTTTTCTCTTGTCCTATCATATTCAGCCTTCATTTAGGTTCTAGTAAGGTTACATTACCCTTGATCAAGCCCTTCTAGGCCTCCTACACCCTTTTGCATCACTTGTTCCCTTGTCTCTCAGTTTTATTAACACCCACTTCCTTTCCCCCACCTTCCCTCCAGATTGTTTATCTGGCTTATCTTATCTAGATAGGCCTGCAGAGATAATAATATGCACCAAAAAACAAGACAGAGGAAAACAAAGCAACAAAAGAAAACAACAAAAAAAAAACCAATGCCAAATAAAAGAAAAGCCTGTAAATAGTTCAACGTCTGTTTGGTGACCTTTTGGAGTGTTTTCTGGGAGTCTGATGGGGTGCCATGCCCTGGCCCCAAAGTCTAATTTTGGTATTCCCTCAGGACTTCCTTGCTCTGCTCCCCATGCTGTTTTGTTGCACGTCCTTAGTGTTTTGCCTTGGTGTGGTGGGGTCAAATCAGGTGCAGTTCCTGCACTTTGTCTCCAGTATTGTCTGACCAAAGCAGTATGGGTCAATGAGGTGGGGCTGGCCCTATGGTCTTCTCTGCTTTGGCTGCTCTGAGCAGGAATATCGTCCTAAAGGCTTGGTGGGCCAGGATGTGTTCTGCTCTCTTCCTCCCCCTTCATTTGCTCCTGTGCGCTCTGATCAGACATGTCCCTCTCCCTGAGCTGTAGCTTTAGTGCTCTCCTCTAAAGTGAGTTCTTCTGTCAGAAGAGGGTGCTGTCCACGTAGCTGCGATTATTTTTTTTAATGATTTAATATTAAGCAAAATGATACAATATTGGTCATCTGTGTACTTACTCTCTGTATGCACTAAGTACTTCAATATAATGTGTAACATACAGTAGAACATAGTGAAATTGATTTATCTAAAAGTATATTCTTTTTCTGTTTTATTCCTTATGAGGATTAGATTCTTGTCTAAGCAAATTTATAAGAAAAGGCTGCATCTAATTTACAGATAGCAGATGCCAGAAATGTTATTCCCTGCAGTGACCTAAGGGATTGAAAACCTTTAAAAATACTATAGGATTATGTTTTGAAATTTCTTAGGATGCCAAAATATGTACTTTGTTATTGTTTTTATGTCCTTCAGAGTTTAACAGCTCCTTTCTGGACTCCCTGGGTTCTGATGAGGACTCTGGAAACGAGGATGTTTTGGATATGGAGTACACAGAAGCTGAGGCGGAGGAACTGAAGAGAAACGCGGAGGTGATGTTTCAGTCCTTGAACGGAACAGACCAAGATGGCAGCCTTCACTTGGTCTTTGTTTTCTGTTGTCCTTTGCGCTATTTCTACACGAAGGATTGATTTATGAGAACAAATAAAAACTTGACCACCTCCTGTGCCTGTTTGCTAGAACTGAGCAGCTTGGTGCCCGGAGCATATGCATATTAACCTACATAGCTGCTATCAAGGAAGGATTATATGTTGCCAGTTGCTTGTTGCTCAGAGAAAAACTTTGAGATTAATGATACTGGCTTAGGTTCATTGGACTCTTTTTTTTTTTTTTGACCGCAAATAACTCTTATTTCCCAAACTTTCTTTAATTTAATTACCAAGGACCCAGTTAGTATAACACATGTATGCTTAAAACCATCGTAGTATAAGTAGTTTTAATCCTGCTTGTTTAAAACAAATTATATAATGACTGAGCCATACTCCCTCAAGTTAATTAAAACAGTTTTTGACTAACTACATTATTTTTCATTGTAGTAAGTAATACAACAAGGACCTATGTGTGATTATAATGTTTACATATTTTGGAAGTAAATGACTGCATTTACTTTTAAAAGTTTGTGAACATTTTGATGACTTCTGTTGTATGTCTGTTATTAATTGCCACCGAGTCTCTTTCGACTTACAGACGGGACTGTTTGCCAGAACAGATCACCTGGCCTTCTCACCCTCAGTTCCTCTGGGGGTTCAAATGACAGGCTTTTTGGCTATCAGCCAAGTGTTTGACCATTGCACTACTGTGACTCCTTATGTACACAGAGATAGAGGTATTCTTGCCCCAAATGTTACTTGATGCAGCTCCTGCAAGGCATGGGTGTCACTGCCCACTTTTGTTTTTTCCCCCCTTTTTCCCGTTTAATTTTTGTAATATTAAAAGTATAGAAATTGACCCATGATTCCTATAACAACTCATTTCTGTTTTTCATTCTGCTTTTCAGTACTTTGCCATTTGTGCTTATTTTTGCAGAACAGTGTCTTGTTTACATTCGTGTGAGTTTTTAAAGGCTAGCACACTGCTAGTCTTCATAATAGTTCTTCAGAAACTGCCTGATGTTGTCTTTACTTGATGTGTTACTAACAAGTCACCTATCACAACGTTTCCGTGTTACAGGGAGTACTCCATGGAGTACTTTGTGCATATGATCTTCTGTTTAATTATTTTCATAGGATGCATTCTTAGTTGAGGTTGGCCGTCTTTGGTCAAAGGGTGTGTACAGTCAGTACACTGAGTTTGTATTGTGTCTGACCCACCCCACACTGGGCTTTAACCTGTCTGTCTGAGTTTTAAAGTTAAATTTAGCGATTTGCTTTACACCAATAAAAATGATACCTCCTTCTGTTTTCCAGACAGGAAACCTTCCTCATTCCTACCGGCTCATCAGTGTTGTCAGTCACATCGGCAGCACTTCGTCTTCAGGTAAAGGGACGTCAGGATTTCAGCAGTTTAAAAATGACCCCGCTGGCCAGCCTTAGTGGCATGGTGGTTATGAGTTGGGCTCCTAACCACAAGATCAGCAGCTCGAAACCATCAGCCGCTCCTGGGAGAAGATGGGACTTTCTACTCTCGTAGAGAGTTACACTCGCGGAAGCCCCCAGGGACAGTAGGGTCACTGAGTGGGCACTGACTCAGTGGCAGTGAGTTTTCTGAGTGGCCAGCACATGGTCCCTTCTTAAGCAGTTTATGTCAAGTTTTTCAAGCTGCAAGTTAAATCTACAAAAAAACACAAAACTTTAAAATCTTATCTCTGTTTAATGTGAATATTAAAAGGTGTTAACTATATTAATATCTTTACTTATCAATAACCTAAACATCCCTGAACAAGTTATCTTTAGCAAATTAATTGTCCCAGTGTAGAATTTTCTACATGTAGTTCTTAGTATGTGGGTTTTTTTGTTTGTTTGTTTCTTCATGTTTTTTAGATGGCATGGGGGGGGGGGGCGGTAGTAGAGTGGGCAGGGTGGTTGCTTCTCTTCCTATACCCAAAGAAAATTTCAGAATATTAACAACAAAAAGAACCCTCATTTGTAGAATTTTCTGCCTTTCAGGTCATTACATTAGTGATGTGTATGACATTAAGAAGCAAGCGTGGTTTACTTACAATGACTTGGAGGTGGCCAAAGTCCAAGAAACTTCCGTGCAGAGTGATCGAGATCGGAGTGGTTACATCTTCTTTTATATGCACAAGTAAGACACCTGGCCGGCACCAAAGCCATAGGCTAAAAATCACCCCAACTCTTTCTTCAACCTTTGAGGAGGATAAAATGTTCCTATCCCTTGATTGGTTGGCAATTTCTTGTTCTCTTTACTTAGGGCTTGTCTCTGAATAATTGCTTCTATGTCTGGAATATTTTCTCTCCTCACTTAGCATTAATTACCCCTCACACAGTAGCATCTAGAAATGGAGCGTAAGACTGTCCTGCCCTCCTGTTATATCAATGTATAGAAAATCCTGTCTCCATGGTAGGGGACTATGTAGCATTTTTATTAAATTGCAATGTCACCTCCACATCCCCGGCTTTCAAAAAATCAGAACCCAGATTAAGGTTGTTGATGGAATGACGAGCTTCACATGTGGGATGCAGGCACCTCAGGAAGTCAATTTGGTGGTAGATTTCTCACCTTCATGCCAGAAAAGCAGGTTCAGTGCCCTCTGCAGGAGCCTTCAGTTTTGATTATCTGCCAGGACATTTAATGTACAACTACCACCCACCTGGCAATGGAGACTCTCCTGTTGTTATTATGCCTCAGCAGGTTTTAGCGGATCTTCCAGACTAAGACAGTAGGAAGAAAGCCCTGGCAGTTTTCTCCTGACAGCGAGTGAAAAGAAAACGCTATAGATCCCAACCTTCCACCTCACCATCAATCATAGAGATGAGGCAGGACCAAGCAACATTTCCCTCCACTGTACTTGGGGCAAACTCACTGGCTGCCGTCCAGATACAGAGAGAATTTTGCAGGCTTCCCCAGAATCTGCTTCTGTTACTCTTTCTCCTGTCATCTTTATGGTTTTACTCCCCTAATTTTCTTGTTTGATGTTTGCTTTACTTCAAGGGAGATCTTTGACGAGCTGCTGGAAACGGAAAAGAACTCTCAGCCACTTCCTGCAGAAGCAGGAAAACCTGCTCAGCAAGCCTCATGAGGGCCAGCTGTCATCGCTGGGGGCGGAAGTGTGTGCTGTGGCCCCTCCTGCCCGGCCTCCCTCCTCGCCTCTCTCTGCCCCCAGAAAACCTGGAACTCTGCTTATGCAGGAGCAACACACAGCTCAGGGCCAAAACACAAGATGAAAATTGCAATTATGCTGAATGCTCCATGCTGACTATTTTATGGGAACCTTGGTCACACATCTGTAGCTGATTATCTTTTTTTTTCTCCTACAAGAATGGCACTTAGAAAATATGTTGTAAATATGTATGTGTACATACATTCACACACACACACATATATATATATATATATATACAGAATGGATGGAGTCTAAACAAGCTAGGGTGAGTCATCCAACAGCAGTTTGGAGAGGAGATGAAGGTGCAAGAGAGCCTGTCCACTGGAGAAGTGTGGGAAGAGCCACACATCCCCAGGCGGCTTCTAGCTTTCTTGTTCCTTGCATAGTTTCACTCAAATCTGCCCTTTCGTGTGTTGTTTCTTAGTAAAATTCACTGGATAGCGAGCTCTCCATGTTCCACTGCTGACAGTGTGCCTCCTCACAGGGAAGGAATTTCTGTCACCTGACTGGAGGAGCTAATACTGGTTTTTTACTTGGTTGCTTTGTTTTGTCTTTTAATCATTTCGTGGCTCTGTAATGCCTTTGCCTGTTTACACACAGTCCCCAAAAATGGATTGTTGGTGCTGGTCCCGTGTCTGGTGTTCATTGCACACTCTGCGTTATGGTCAAGAGATTCCTTCACACAGTGTGTTTATCATCTGTAGTATTCCAGTAGTGAAGATAGAATCTGTTCGATAAGTTTCCTCCCTTCCATAACAGCTCAGAATGAAAACATTGGGGCGGGCAGGGAGACTGCTGTTATCCTGGCCCCGCCAGAAGACCCCAGCAGGTGTTCTTGGACAGCTGGTGTCTCTGGCCTCAAACAGAGAAATTAAGAAGAGTGTTCTCATGGGAAAGCGAACGCTTGGACCCGGGAGCCCTATCGCGCATGGGGCATGAGCTACCTGAGCTACAGGATTAAGCTCGAGCATCCAACTGCTTGCTAACAGGCTTTGCCCTTGAAGTAGGGTGGAAATTAAAAAGTGACTGGTTTAGATTATCCCAAGAACTAACAAATAACAAAGGTGCATAATATATTAATCTGACTTTCTAGGTGCTTTTGAGTTGAGACTAAGTGAAGGTGCAGCATAAAGAACGGTCAGCTGACAAGACCAGCGTGGTTAAGCAGCTTATGAACCATATGAAGAATGAGTTTGAGGGTGAGATTCTGCCCACAAGATAATCTTGTGGACTCCAGTTATTAGTTGGCTCTCTCAGAGTTAAGTGCAGCATATTAGAAACTTCATTGTTTGCTGCTCTTATGTTTTCCTCATTCTGAAAGAGGGAGCTTACTCTTCAATTCTGAGGCAAGAACAAAACCACACCAGCTTTTCAAGGGGAGGGAGCACTTTAGAGCCCATCATTACAGAGGGGGCAACACCTTTTCTGGCAGACTTCCTGAAGGCGCCAGTCTGGCTAGAACTTGCATCCGTTCTGATACAGTAACCCCCATCTTAATATTGAGCAACCATGAGTGGTGTGTGATTCCCCCCACCTTTTTTTTTTTTTTGCTAAACCAAGTGCTTTGCCTCTTTCCACACACGGCTCTCAGACATTCCCAGTTGGCACGATGGGAGGAGCTGTAGGATACCTTCAGAACAGAAGGGGATCTCTTTTAAAAACTAGCTTCCAAATTTTTATTTTATTCCGACCAGCAACCCTTTTTTTTGTTGCGATTTTTCCATGAAAAGAACTACCTGCCCCATGAATGTGTGAAATGGTGAGCAGCGTCTTCAGTTGTGTATTTCTCTCGTGTCCACATTCAAGAGCATTAAGGGACACTTGGAAATCACGGGGTGATGAGACGTGATCCAGAATAGAAACCTGCCATAGGCCTGAGTTGCCTCTTAACAGTTGTCAGTGGAGTTGCTACTGCCATTTGCATGTAGTATGCATTGCCGGAAGTGCTCTTGGCTGGGAAACCTGGTGTTCTGTCTTGCCTTGTCACTCGCCCTTCCCACCTCGCAACGCACTACAGCGTGCACTGGTCATCCCAGCTCAGTGACAGCTTATTGCTTAATACCTGGAGAGTCCATCTGTGCTGGGGAGAAGATACATTTCTCTTGCAGCGAGAGTTTGCCCAGAATCTGGGTCTGGGACAGTTGGCCTGTTGGGTCCAGGAAGGAGTATTGTGCTTGAGTGCCCAGCAGTCTGCGCGGGAACTAACCTTCCCTGTGGAAACCTGACTGTGTGGCTGTGTTTAAGTGACTGGAAACTGGACAGCTCTTGGTTCTACAGAACCTTTGCTCCAACTGAAATCCTTAAAAATGGGACCGAATGCAAAGAAAAGTTAGGGTTATTTCACCCAGTATTATGGGCCTCTTGGATGTGCTGGCTGCTGCTGCGACTTCAGGAGCCATGTCTTTGATTTCAGCCTTCAAGAAGAGAAGACTTCATGAAGAGCGGTCTCATGTCCATGTGGCCTCAGCAGGATAGAAGTAGAAGCCAGTCCATGAGTTGTTCTGCTGTGTTTATATTTGGGTTCTAAAAGCTATTTCTTTGCTTGCCAAGGTCTGTTCTGTTCATTTCAGTCCCAATGAATGTAAACGTCGTTATGTTTTACGAAGTGTGCAGCATAATACACATCCTCCCAAAAGGCAGATACCAAGGCAGCGCTTTCCTTTCTAAGACCTAAGTTTTAAGACCTCAGCAAGATAGTTCACAAATGCATGTATTCTTCCATATTGCATTCATTAGCATTGTGTAACTATATCAGTGCAGCTAGCTTACACGTGTACAGCTACAGAAGAATTGCAGTGAAGCCTACCTGGACACACCTCAGTTACGGGTTCTTGATAGTGCCCCAAACAAAAGGTTGAGGGTCAGAGGGAGATGAGGTGGTATATAAGCTCATGTAAGATTTACTGACAGGTTATATTAAAAGCAGAAGTAGCAGTGCCTTAAATGTCCACTGCCCTCTGGTGACTTCCGTGGATGCTGTTGGTACCAAGGCATTGTTCGTCCCTATTTGGTTTCATTGGCCTTTTTGTGTGCTTTTTAATGTCCAATCAGGAAGACACAACTAGCTTTCCGAGTCCAAATGAAGCCTGTATGTGCTTATGTCAGGAGATGGTTTAGAAAATACTCACAAAAGATTAAAGAATTTCCTATGGAATCGAATCCACCCTTTTCCTCCCCCTGAGTAATGTCCTCTCAAAAGTGTGGCCAAAACTCGACAGGTTTTGCCTGCCAGCACCTTTCCACGGCAGTACTTCCAAGTTTTACCTCCCCTAGGGCTAGGTCTGGTAACATCTAGAGAGTCGTCTGTTGTACTGGGAAACATAGCGTCTGGGGCCGTGAGAGCCTTGTGACAAGCGTCCGCGGTCTCTCCACAGCCATCGCCCTTATGGCGTGCTTGGCTGCCTCGGGTCCTGTTTCTACACAATTGGGGAATTGGTTCCTTGCCACGTGTGACATGTGTCTGAGAACAGGTATGCCGTGTGAAGGTGAGCATGAGCAGTTGATTTTCCTCATATTGGTCTCTGCACCACACAGGCTCAAAGTGTAGGTACCTCCAATGGCCTAAGCGTAGAGTGGATGGTGGCAAACTGGATCAGACCCAAGTTTGTCAGAGGGCTGGGTGCCAGAGACCAGAAGAATGCCGCCTCCCCACAGATGGTCTATTTCAGGAGCATAGGGGGCTCATTAGGATTGTAGGCAGCTCCTCTGGCCTGGGCAGTGTTGGTTTATACTTAAGGAGGGGAAGGCAAAGTGGGTTTCTGCATTTTGCCTAATTGAGCTGGTACCAGCTGGGCTAGCAGCCTGGACCACGTATGTGCAGTGGTTTTTCTTTGCTCGGAGTGACTTTTGATTGAGTCTGTTTTCTACGGAGCAGCACTTTATCTGTGTTTTAGCAGAACTATTCCTCTGTATCCTTTACGGTTTTTTTGTTTTGTTTTGTTTTTCTTTTTAAATTATGCATTAGTTTTGTGTGTGAAATTAAAGCCTTTATTAACCTGGTGGTTGGAGTATTATTTCAGAAAAGGGCACAATTTGGCAGACATTTGTTGGAGCTGGGAGATCTGTTGGCCTTCTGACCCTACTCCCGGCCAGCACGGTTACACCCCAGAGGACATAGAAGGAGGGCAAACTGAGGCAGGGCCAGAGCTCCTGCTGTTGGGACCAGTGGAAGGTGTGAGGGCATGTGAGGAGGAAGTAGCAGTGCTCTGAGAAAGATACCAAACACCACACCTCAGCCCACCTGCCCTGATAGACCACCACCACACCCTGCTGTGCTGTCAAGTGCTTGGTTGCCCTTCTAAGAAGCAGGAGCTGGAGAGGAAGGAGGGTAAAGTGATGCCCTCTGGGACAAGGGCCCCAGCTACCTGGAGTGCTGGCAGGGGATCACAGTCCTTCCAGGGGCCAAGAGTGGCTCACACACAGGCCCTACTGGCCCCGGGATGGACAGTGAAGCCGTAAGCAGGGTCGGCTAGTGCTTTGCAGCTGCAGCTCCTCTTGCTTTTCAAAAGAGGCCTTTTTCCTTCTTGAGGTTTTGTTGCTTCCACCGAGGCAGGGCCAAGAAGGCAGCGGGAGTCATCCCCAAGGCCTCTGCGAAATCCTCAGGGGACAGGTGCGCCTAGAAACAGAGGGTAAGGGTCACATTCTCTCCCAGGGTTTGTTCTGCTGAGTCATATGAACCCTTTGCCATTGAGTCAGTTCTGACTCATTGGTGACCTCGGCGGTATCAGAGTCAAGTTCTCCATGGAGTTTCCAGTGGTGGTTTATCACAGGTTGTCAGACCTTTCTTCCAAGGTGCCTCTGCCCAAGTCTCCAGCCTTTCTGTCAGCTGCCAAGCAAACTCATGTTGACTACCCAGTGGGTTGTACAGGTGTGACTTAAAAACCAAACCAAACTTACTGCCTTCTTGTCGATTCTGACCGACCCCATAGGACAGGGTAGAAGTGCTCTTTGGGCAGTGGTTCTCAACCTTCCTAATGCCACAACCCTTTAATACAGTTCCTCTTGTGATCACCCCCAACCATAAAATTATTTTTGTTGCTTCATAACGAATTTTGCTACTGTTATGAATCGGGCAACCCCTGTAAAAGGGTCGTTTGACCCCCCAAGGGTCCCTTTGTCTTAGGTGTATCCGAGACTAACTACAGTTGAATGAAGAGCAAAAGAGAGCAGGCAAGGTCAAGTCATGGAAGGTAAGGGCAGCATTTGGGGGTTCCAAAAGTGGAACATACACGGACAGTGTCAAGGTAGCTTGACCTGTTATTTTGTTCACAGTCTCCCTGAAATAAGACATCTGCCTAACTCTGTTTAAGAAGTTGCTTCCCTTTCAAGGTCTTTCTTAGTTTTTCCAATATAAAGTGGGAGGAGTGTCTGAAAGGCCTGTTTGCTTCTTTATAAGCTTTTATCCTCTCGCCATACTTGACTCAAGCTGCATGCTGAACAAATCAGAGAAACGGTTAAAAGAAGAGTACGGCAGGATGGGAGAAAGGCTTAATAACAACCTGCGTGATGCAGATGACACACCTTACAGAAAGTGAGGGCTTGAAGCACGTGCTGATGAAAATCAAGGATTGCCGCCTTCAGTATAGATTGCGATTCAAATGTAAATCAGACCAAAATCCTCACAATTGTACCAGTAGGTAACATCATGATAAATGGGGAAGAGTTTGAATTTGTCAAGGAGTTTGTCTTGGATCCACAATCAATGCTCATGGGAACAGTTGAGATCAAAACACATTACATTGGGTAAACCTGCTGCACAAGACCTCGTTCGAGTACGGAAAAACAAGGATGCTACTTTGAGAACTAAGGTCCACCTGAACCCAAGCCTTTCACATACGCACGTGTGTGCTGGACAATGACTGAGGAAGAATCGATGCCTTTGAATCGTGGTGGTGTAGAAATGTAATGAAAATGCCGTGGGCTGCTAAGAGCACTAGCTGATCTGTCTTGGAAGAAGTATGACCAGAGAGGTGCTTACAGGCAAAGATGGCAAGACATGGTCTTAAATACTTTGGACGTATTATCAGGAGAGACCAGTCCCTGGAGAGAGACGAAAGCGGCGGGAAAGAGGAAGGCCCGTGACAAGATGGAGTAACACAGAGGCGGCAACCGTGGGATAAAGCGCACGAGCCATTGGGAGGATGGTGCAGGAGCAGGCAAGGTCTTGTTTGATGGTGCGTAGAGTCACTATGGGGCAGAACTGACTCAGTGGCGCCTAAAACAAGCTTTTGTAAGGATGAAAAACATCACCTAGGAAAGGACCTTGAAGACCCAGTATCATTTATGTGTCTACTCAACAACCAAGCAGCCTGCCATGAAGAAGCGTAGCCCAGAGAGGAGGCAGGTGGGTCCAGGAGTCGCCGATCGAGGCTGGACATGTAAAACTTGCTTGCTGCGACCACAGGATCCTCGCAAGAGCCCATGATGAGCAGGAGTGACTCCCTTCTGGACCCAACCTTGCTTTGGACCAAATTGAGACTAGTGACACGGCCAGTGAGGCTTGACCCTCTCTGGGAAGCAAAACCAGCAGAATTTTAACCTGCGTGCTGCTGAAGCATTTACAGAGGCACACTTGATACACATTGTCAAGTGATGAAGCCAAAGTTCAAGGTTCTCCCATTCCAAATCCCCCAACTGCCCTGCATGGACTCTCCCTTCCCTCGGGCGGTTTCAGCAGCACTGTGATAAAGGGTGGCCTCTCCCCTTTCCCCCTGGGACCTGCCCAGCAGGTTATCAGGCTTGTAACTGATGAACAGTTCACCAGAATGGTAGTTGTAGCTTTGTAACTTACAAAGTTACAACCTGCTGAGGTTTATCTGTGGACTGGCTTGCTGGGGGGAGAGAGTCCAGAATGGAGCAGCTGTATGGTAAACACCTGTTGATTGCTCAAGCTCAGGTGGTTCTGACGGCCTCGTTCTCTAAACTGTCAATACACTGGCGGCCTGCCCCTGGGATTTTCTTCCAGGTTGAGGAGAGCCCTTCCTAGTCCCCCAGGCAGGGCAGGGCAGCCCTTATTAGGGATTAAATTGGTGGTTTGGACCCCAGTGGAAGAGGGCAGGGCTGCTTTTAGAAGTATCCACCAGTCCCTCAGTCTGCAGAGGCCCACGCGGTCCTTCCTCTCTCATCCAACCAGGCTGAGTCCTCGGTCTACTCTCTGCTGGACCCTGACCCCTTGGGCTAGATAGCGGGGACTGCCCATCCCAGTGGACTTGTATCCTTCAACAGCTGATTACCCACCACACCCAGGGCTACATCCGCCTCCTGTGGCTTATTCAATCAATTACCTCCGGCAGACAGGCCCCACACCCCGTGGGCCAGAGTGAGCTCCACTGGCAAGCCAATGTGCTTGATGACTTTCACTCAGTGAAACACACAGGCCAAGGTGAGTATTTCCACCACAGTCATTTCAAACACTGGATTTTTATGATGGTGTTGTGAAAAGAACAGGGCTAAAGACTGCTTTTTAGGCATGGTGGGGTCTGTGTGTGCCGCTCAATTAACCCATCTGGCTCAAGGACCCTGGCCACCTGCCCTTTAGAAATGTTCTTTTGGCTGTGGGAGACAAGTGGACTCAGAAGACAGACCTGGCTTTGCAGCCAGCTAGCCCTGGAGCCCTGGCGGTACAGTGGTTATGAGATAGACTGCTACCCACGAGGTCAGCAGTTTGAAACCACCAGTCACTCCATTGGAGAAAGATGAGGCTTTCTACTCCCTGTAGAGTTAGTCTCAGAAAGTCACAGGGGCAGTTCCACCCTGAGCTATAGGATCATTATAAGTTGGAATTGACAGTGAAAGTTAATGTTACAATGGCAAGTCACTTGCTTGCCTCTTTAGGTATCAGTTGTTGGGTTGTTTTTTTTCCATTGTGGACCAGACAATAAGAATAATAACTTGCATTGCTGGTGTACTTTCTATGTACCAAGGAGCCCTGGTGGTGTAGTGGTTACAAGTTGGGCTGCTAACCGCAAGGCCAGCAGTTTGAAGCCACCAGTCACTCCTCAGGAGAAAGATAAGGCTTTCTACTCCCATAAAAAGTTTCAGTCTCAGAAACCCACGGGCAAAGTTCTGTCCGGTCCTAAAGGGTTGCTATGAGTCTGAATAGTGTGTTTGGCTTTGGTTTGGTTCTTTGTACCAACAAACCGTAGTGGTGCTGTGTAAGGTTAGGCATTGGGCTATTAACCACGAGGTCAACTGTTCAAAGCCACCAACTGCTCCAAAGAAGAAAAATGAGGCTGTCTGCTCCCATAAAGATGCATAGCCTTGTAAACCCTATAGAAAGTCGCTATGAGTTGTCATCAACTCAATGACAATGAGCTTGGTTACGGGTTCTGTGTAACAGAGGGTGCTTGTCACCCAGACTGCAATCCATTCAATGCTGCAGGAGGACACTGATTCCCCCTGCTCTTCTTGGCAGGTGAGAGGATGTGCCCCACAGCATTCTCCCTGGTACAGGGCAGTTTGGGCTGGGCTCTGTGATCGATGCATTACACGTCTCTGGAGACCAAACTCCTCGAAGACTCAAGTCTAACTGTCCACTGAACATGTAGTGTACCACACAGCTATCACAAAAGACATGACTGTCCCCTCTGCGTTCACACCCATGTGTGCCAAGGAGAACTTCGGAAGGTGTTCAGGGCTGTGACCTTTGGGAAGCAGATGGCCAGGCCTCAGTGCCGCAGCAGTGCTGGGTGAGTTCAAACTGCCAGCCTCGAGGTTAGAGAGCAGTTGACTGCAAACCACTGCACCACTTAGTTGTCCCAACGGCAATGGGTTGTGTTCAGGGTTTTGTATCTCAGAAAAGTGTCTCCTAGTTCCACTCTCTGACACACCCTTGGTCCAGTTACCCTCGAGGGTTGTTGACTTGAGCACCTCCGTATTTCCCTAAGTCACCATCTTCTCTCCACCTTCCTTGGCTCCCGGCAGCACTGCTCTGCTAGCTGGCCTTCTGTGTCGGCCTGGCCAGCCACCATCCCATCTTCAAGAGGAGCTAACAATGATCTTTTCAAGATGATGCACATCTATCAGTCCCCTGCTTCACACCCTCACGGTCTCCCTCCACTTTCAGGAGGGAGAATTCAACTCCTCACATGGCCAAGAAGGCCCTCGCCGGTTCAGGGTCCTACTTTCCTTGGCAGCTAGCTACCTTTGCCCGGCCCACAGTCGGCAGCCACTCTGGCCACCTTGCCATCTGGCCATGCACCTTGCTAGTCTCTGCCTCTGGGCGCCAGACACAGTAGTATCTTCTCCAGGAATAACCCACCCCTGCCCTTTTTATTTTATTTTTTTTTGTTGCCCCCTTTGTTTGAAAAATTCCTGTTCACCTTTCAGACCTAAATCTCTCTGACCGAAACACCTACACTCACCTCTGTGGCTTTTCCTGACCCTCAAGGCTCTTATATGGAGGTGTCTTTGATGCCCCTCCCCGTGTGGGATGGAAACCTATGGCCGGTGATAAGGGGGACCCACCTGTATTGTTCCCAGGACATCCCCAGCACCTCCAAATCTGCGGGGGCACAATAGTTGAAGGGGGCAACTGGACCATTCCCAAATAAACAAGCCCCATCTCTATCAGGGCTCCGTAATGCTGCAGTGGTTATCCTACATTGTGCTGCAATCGCAGGGTTAGCAGTTTGACACCTCCAGCCGCTCTGCAGGAGAAAGATGAGGCCTTCTACTCCCGGCAATTGCGGTCTCAGAGCCCCACGGGTGCAGGTCTTCCCCGTCTTATCAAGTCGCTATGAGTCCACATCGACCCACTGGCTGTGAGTTTGGTTGATTGATGTATCTTATTGTCCCCCCTGGAAGGTCTGACCTACCTCCTTTCTGCTGGGGTTCACCCCCTCGGGGAGCTCTTCCGCCGGCTTGTTCACCAGCTGCTCCAGGGGGAAGATGGGGAGGGGCCCAGAATCAAGGCTGCTGTTGGCGTTGAACACGTCCGGCTCGGGGCTGGTGATCTCCTAGGGAGGAAGTGGACAGCTCGGGTACTTGGGCTACTCCATCACTCCCTCCCTCTGCAGCAAGCTTTGGAGCACTGGTTCCAGGATCTTGATTGCCCCCACCGCTCGCTCACTCCCACACACATACTCCTCCAAGAACACACACGGACCAGACCCACCAGCTCAGAACGCAGTGGGCGGTAACCAGTCGAAGCCAATGGGTGTGAGCTGGCTATTGTGTTCAATAACCTCCCTCCTGCAAAGGTTCCCAAAGTATTCAAGATCGACCGGGCCCATGTGTGACCCTCTCCCACGATACCCTGCTCTGCAACCAGCACCTGCAGGTTCCCCTGCCATGATGTGTACCTTCAAGCCAAGTCTGACTCAGAGACCGAGAAGAACAACGGGGTGGGGCAGACCTGTCCCATGGGGTCCCTGGGCTGTCATCTTTACAGAGGCCGATCACCAGGTCTTTTCTCCCACAGAGGGGCTGGAGGCTCAGGCTGCAGCCTTCACTCTGCTTAACCAGGGCACCAGGGCTTAGCCCTTTCCAGGGCTCCTGACCGTTCCTCAGCCTTGCCCTGTGGGCACCTTCCAACCTTCAGTGAGTCAGCTACTGCTCAGGGTCAACGCTTGGCCTAGGGATGGGGAGAGGCGCCCTGTGTGTCAGCTGCTGGTGGCACCAGTCGGCTGCTGAGGTTAGTCTCCTGTCCTGGGCATTTTTCCGCATCATTTGCCCTGTCTTGCTCCCCCTGTGAGCCAGGAACTCTTGAAAGCAAGGTTTTGGGGTTTTTGTATTCCCAGATTCAAGGAAGCCAGAGGTCCACAGACTCAATGCACAGTCGTCGACTAATTGAAAAATGGACCATGCTGCTGATACCCCCACCTGGAAGGAGCTTGTGCAGAGAGAGCATTATTTTTCAGCGTGTTGCCCGTGGACTGAGCGCATCCAATGATCTGGGTCCTTGGTTAAAAAAAAGGAGCAGGTTCCTAGGTCCCAACTCAATGCTACCAACTGGAATCTGGGAGCAGGCCTCAGCATCTGAGTGTTAATAAGCTTCCCGCCCTCCCCCAATCACCCAGTCTGGTCCGTGTGTGTGTGTTTTTGGAGGAATCTTTCTGAAAGAGAGAATCTGAGCCCTTTCACGAGGGAGCAGAGTGGACATAGCAGTTGGAGGCCGTACAAACAGCAAGAAGAGCTTGCATACCGCACGCAGGGCAAGTGTGGAGAGTGGCTTGTCTCTGGAACTCCCTGACCACCAGCTGGCCACCAGAGGGCCAGCCACCTGGCGCTGATTCAAGAAGGTGTTAAGGGAGAAGGCGGACCAACCCTCCCTCTCCCCTTACTCACAGCAGTGAGCTTGCCCCAGTCTCTCGGGTCTCCAAGTTCCCCCTTCAGTTCCTCGTAGGATTTGGCGTTCTACAAAAAAAGTCAAAGTGACAGGTGAGACAACGCAGAGTGGGCACGAGGCCGTTTTCCTTCAGGGGTGGGGAGGAGACTGACGCCGGGCCTCATGGTGAGCAGGGGACACATCCCCAGCTGGGGCTTGGGGTGGGGGGTTCCCCTGAAAGGAGGTTAGATGGCGGGCATGGAATCTGACTGTTCCCACCCAGCCTGACACGCTCAGGCATCTGTGCCCACAGCTGCATGGAGTCTACAAACCTGCCCATGCTGTGTGGGCTCTCGGGGCCCTCAGGGCCTGGGAGAACTGGGGGACTGCCTTGGGGCCAGGGGGACCCTGTTGCAGAGGTGTGAAGGGGGTGGAAGGCATCATGTCTCCCTGAGGGGCCCCATCTTCATTTCCCCAGTGCCAGGACCTGAGCCTGACACATCGCTTATTCATGCAGAATGAATGAATGAGGCTGCGGACGAGGGGGGAGAGAAGGCTCTGGGGTGTGACTTGGGGCCCAGATGCAGACATGAGACGCTCCCGGCTCCTACATTTGCAGCCTTAGGATTTGTTTGAATGCAGGCTCAGGACTAGACTCTTAAATCGCTGAATTAAAAAAAATTAAAATTTCGCAATTCCGCCCGAGGCCCCCCTGCTCCCGAGGCCTGACCGGCATCATGTTGAGGAGTCATCACAGCTGTCTGTCGCAGAGCAGGCTGTCCCGGTTTCCCAGGCTGTACTCTTTGCAAAGGAGCCCTGCGGGGTACAGTGGGCTTCGCCGGGGCTGCTAACCAACCACAAGGTCAGCAGGGGAAAGTTGAGGCTTCTTGCTCCTGCACCGATTTATAGCCTCGGAAACCCACAGGGACAGCTCTACTCAGTCCTGAAGACCTTCGGGTCTGCTATGCAGCAGAATTGACTCCCTGTCCATGGGTTTGAGTTTTTAATCTTTACCGGATGTCACCGATCTTTTCTCCCAGGATTTGAACCGCAGACCTTGGGGCCAGAAGCCCGGCAGGTCACCACTTAACCTCCCGGGCTCTCCGGCATCAATCCGTGTAGAGGAGCAGAAAGCCCCGCCTGGCCTTGCTTCACTGTGGGCTTTGGCCCTCCCATCGGAAACCTCTGCTGCTCCACCGTGAGGGCCCCCCCTGGGCTTGGCTGCTCTCAGGTCCTTTAAGCAAGCACCCCTGGCTGTCCAGTGCCCTCTGTCCGGTGTCCGTGGGCAAGGACCCCACGGGTGAGCCATTTTGCTTAGGCTTTTGGGGTCAGGAAAGCACTCGTCTTTCCTTCAGAAGTGACTTGCTTCCTTTTCTCCGGAACGAGGTGCCAATAGGACGTTCTCCGAGGAGCGACATGTCCTACACAGGTGCTGCCCAGTGTGGCAGGCACTGCCCACACGTGGCTCCTGACCCCGGAGAAGGCAGCCAGGGCAGTTGAGGGAATGACATGCTTCCTCAAAGCCAGACTCACCGCCGCCAAGTCGATGCCGAGTCATGGCAACCCTCCAGCACAGGGTAGAACTGCCCGTGTGAGTTTCTGAGGTTGGAACTATTTATGGGAGTAGAAAGCCAAGTCTTTCTCCCCAGGAGTAAAGGGTGGGTTTGAACTCCCGACCCTGTCGTCAGCAGCCCAATACATAACCACTGCACTTGCAGGGCTCACTGTAATGCAAATGGCCAGTGTGCCCTTCCCTGGGCTCCCCAGCAGCTCCTGCTCTGTGCAGTGCAGAACCAAAGGCTCTCCATCAGGGCCCAGGTTTCCAACAGAATTCTGCCCTCCCCCTCACCAGGGGGCACAATGCTCGCACTGCAGCCTGGCCTTCCATGCTGTTCTGACTCCGCTCAGCGGTTGCCATTGAGACCTGTGCCCCCTTCGCTTTTCAGTGGGTGATTCGGTGGGGAGTAGAGTCCTAACTACAATGTGGGTTGCTGGCCGCAAGGTCCAGCAGTTCAAAACCACCAGCCACTCCTCAGGAGCAAGATGAGGCTCTCTGCTCCCATAAACAGTCCCTGTCTCAGAGACGCACAGGGATGGTTGCACCCTGTCCTAGAGGGTGGCTAGGAGTCCCAGTCGACCCCGTGGCAATGGGTTGGGTCTCCTAAGGAGCTTCCAGGTGGCGTCACGTCACACCACCAACCGTGCTGGTAGACGCCAAGTTCATTTAGCTGTTGACGCTACCCAAGTCCCTCCAGGTAAGCAGGCCCCGTCCCCAGGGAGCAGGAAGGCTTGTGGCAGTCAGCGCTGCCCCCGGGGGGTGCCAGGAAGAAGCCGTGGAAAGGAGAGGAGAGAAAGCCAGGCTCACTCACATCCCACTTGAAGGGGTCCCAGGCCAGGAACCAGCCTGTGAAGGTGGGTGGCTCGTGCCCCTGCTTCACCACAACGATGGGCGTCTCCGGGTCGCGGCCACTAGGGTGGGTCTTGAGGTACTCCTGCACCGAGGCCGCCGCTGCCACCTTCTCGTCCTCCCTGGCGTGCCTCCCGATCCAGAAGAAGACCTGGGGCACAGGAACGATCCTTGCTCGGGGCTCAGCCCCATAGGTGCCACCTCAAGGCCTCCCACCGTCCCCTCCAGGTCGCCCTGGGCCTTGCCCATGGCATCTGGGAAATGAGTGAGGAGAATGGGCACAGAGTCTGCAAGTCTGTGACTCCCCAGCCCTCGGGAGTCCAGTTCCTCCCCACACACTGCTGCTGGCCCCTGAAATAAAGGGGAGAAGACACCCCAGACCCCTTCCTGAGTCTCTGGGCACATGCCCCATCTGCTGCTTCTCCCTTCTGGGGTTCCTGCTCTTCCTAGGACTATTCCCAGGGAGAATGCACTGGGAGCCGAGACAACATTGACCCTCCTCTTCCTGACTCCAGGGGCCCAGGCCCTGAGCCGACCTGGTCCCAGACATCCAGCAGAAACACGTCATCCTCCTCCAAGTCGTCCTGGTTGAAGTCGGGGATCTCGGTGGCCAGGAAGCGCCCGGTCTGATTGGAGCACTCAAAGAGCCGGGGGGTGATGACCAGGGTTTCATCCTGCAGCCTGAGCGATGGACAGAGAGCCAAGTCAAGTTGGTGGGGGTGGGGGTCAGGGGTGGGGTGGGAGACGCAGGGGCACCGAAGCAGGAAGAAACCCAACTCTTGGCAAGACCCTCTCTTGTCAGATGGCCCCAATCCACAAGGTCAGTAGTTCAAAACCACCAGCCACTCCAAGGAAGAGAGACAGGACTCCTGTTCCCGTAAAGAGTTTGTCTCAAACTCATAGGGGCAGCTCTATCCTGTCCTGTGGGACCACTATGAGTTGGCATCGGCTCTATGGCAGTGTTGTATTCTAGGACCTCGCCTATAGCCCTGTAAGGAGGCTCTCTGGGTTTCCCCTCCATTCCTCCTGCTGCTGGCACTGCCAAGGCTCTCGTGCTCTGGAGCTGGAGAGAGAACAAGAGGTTTTTACCTGGTGATGCCCAGAACCTGGGGCCGGTGTCAAGGGCTGGGGTCCTCTGTCACCTCCTCCTGGGAGGGCAGACCTCTACCTAGCCCTCTCCCTGAGCTGCCTCCTATGTCTGCACATGCCCTTTGCCAAGGGAAGATACCACCCCACCCAGACCTCAGACAAGCCCTGATGACCACTGATGGTGATGTGCCCCAATTCATCTTTCAGCCTTCAGCGTCCCAGCCCATGCCTGCCCCAGGCTCTGGACCACAGGCATGGAGGGGTCAGGGGAGACATAAACCCACCACCACCACCAGCAGCAGCAGCAGCCTTGGGAGGTGGGCCAGAGGCACCGGTTACCTTTTGGTGTTGGCATAGGGGGCCTTCCCACCCAGCGCCATCCAGAAGGTGGCCGGCTCTTGTCCTTCTACCACCACTTGCTTCTCCGTCCGGCAGATGGTGTCGGCCACCATCTTGGCCATCTCCCGCTCATCCCCGCTACAGCCCTGGAAGGAGGAGAGTGGCAGGTGGGCTGCCGGAGGCACGTGCCACCTCCGGCCCCCACCCTTCCCCAGAATGCTCGTGGGTCAGACCCCACACACAGCTAAAGTGGGGCCACTCTCCCCGCTGCCCTTGATGTTCCTAAGAGTGGCAGAGACAAGAGCCCAGAACATGCCCCCCAAGAGGCTGAGGGTCCTCGTCACAGAGGCACTGAGAGAGTGAGCCAGACACAGGCAGACAGCGGCAGGCTCAGACCTCAGACGCAGAGGCAAAGGACGCCAAGGCCTGGCTAGAGGTGGGAAGACCCAGGCCCAGAGCTGGAGAGGCGGCAGAGACCCAGGCCCAGAGGCAGCTGGGAAAAGAGCAAGCGGAACCCAGGTCAACCTAACCGGGCTCTCCTCGGAGGCTGGGGGACCCAGGGCCCCTTGGAGATGGGGGTCTCTGGGCCGGCACACACCTTCCCGCACCACAGGTAACAGCAGGACGGGGTCCTAAGAACGAAGACGTCGTTGGAGTTGAGGGAGTTGGCCCGAGGCGGGACCTCAAAGGCCTTGGTGTTGGCGTCGCTGGTGCCCCGCACCTGGAACAGCTGTGTGGAGGGCGTGGGCTCCGAGCTGTTAGCGCGAGAAGTGCCTCCCTGCCGGAGAGAGGGGTCGCATGATGGGGCGCTCAGAGAGGAAGAGGGGTCGGAGTGGGGTTGGAGTGAGGCTGCTGGCCCCTGGCCTCTTCGCCATCGATGGCACAAGCCGATCTTTCACAAACACGGTTTCTGGCTTCGACAAGGATGGCTGACTGCGCTCCAGCCCAGCAGTTCTATACCTTCCTCATGCTGCGGCCCTGTCAGACAGCTCCTCGTGTGATGGGGACCCCCAGCCATAGAATGATTTTCGTTGCTACTTCATCGCTGTCATTTTGCTACTGTGATGAATCGGGCGGCCCCTGTGAAAGGGTCGTTTGACCCCCAAAGGGGTCTCGGCCCACAGGTGGAGAACAGCTGCCCTAACACATTCTGTGGCTCCGCACAGAAGAAGAGCCCGCCCTTGGCCACGGACGGAAACACCGGAGGTTCAAGTCCACCCGCAAGTGTCAGAGGAAAAGCTGGGCGATCTACCTGGGGAAAACACGCAGCCGCTGAAGCCTCCTGGGAGGCAGTGGGGGTGGGGGGCACCATGAGTCCCTGTGGGCTCGTGCCTGCACCCAGCATTCCCAGGCCCCAGGGGAGGAAGGTGCAAACTGTCTCTCTGGACTTCCCATCAGGTGAGGCTTCTCCCCGACCTCTGTCCCTGCTGCAGCCCGACCCCACTGGCTCCTCTGGCTCCCCTGGGATGCCCCTTCCCCATGAATCCCCCGCCTGGTCCTAATCAGTGCACTCACACTCCCCTTTGGACTCAGCTTCTCCTGGTGGCTCTTCACCCCCCCCTCTGCCGCACACCGGGAGAGGTCACCGCTCAGACACAGCCTCTCCTTTTCCACCAAGAGGAGGGAAGGACCAGCCTGCTCTCCCCCCAGGGGTTCTGCAAAGGGCTGGGGTGTCCTAGCAGGGAAGTGGTCATGCATGGAGCTGCTTCCCGCAAGGTTAAAACCAGCAGCCACTCCTGGGAAAAAGTGGAGGCTTTCTCCTCCTGTAAACGGTTTCAGTCCCAGACACCCACAGGGCAGTTCTGCCCTGTCCTACCAGGTCGCTGAGGACTCAGAACTGACCCGATGGCAGTGAGTGTGGGGCTTCTTTGACAAAGGGCTGTGTATTTAGTAAAAGCCAACCAAGCCAGGCCCCGACTCTTAGAGCACCTATCTAGGGCTCTGAAACTATACATCTTTTTGTATATGTATGTATGTCTATATATATATATATATGTCATTTTATTGGGGGCTCTTACAGCTCTTATAACAATTTATACATCAATTGTACCAAGCTTATTTGTACATATATTGCCATCATCATTTTCAAAACTTTTTCTTTCTATTGAGCCCTTGGTACCAGCTCCTTTCCACCTCCCACCCTCGTGACCCTTTGATAAATTACAAATTATTATTTTCATCTTACACCGTCTGCTGTCTCCCTTCACCCACGAGATTGTAAATCTAGCAGCAGACAGCCTCCTCTTTCTCCCGCAGAGCGGCTGGTGGGTTTGAACTGCCACCCTTATGGTCAGCAGCCCAACACGCACTGGACGGCGGCACCAGGGTGAATGCTCAGTACGCAGGTTATGGAGTCTGTGCGGCTCGCGTGCTGTCTCCGTCTGCTGGGGCTCCCCAGGGCCCTTTGGAGGGGTGTGTGCGCTCATGCAAACCCAGCCAGGTAACTTCAGGAGTTGGCTAGGTGGAAGGTGGGCGGTGCTTGGCACGTAGCAGATGTACGTGCAGCACGTGAAGTGACTGCTTGGTGGTTTCTATTCTCAGTCCCACTCATGGGAGGGGGGTCTCCAGCAGTCGGTTCCCCTTCCCCGGACCCCTCCCACACCCTCACCCCCACGGATGCAGACCGAGCTCCAGTCCTTCACAGACTTGCCCCCTCCCCGCCATCACACACACACACACACACACGTCTGTGGATCCTGCCAGTCAGCACCTCCGTCAGGTCAGCTGCTCTACCTGATAGACCACCATGCGTCCCTTGAAGATGGACATAAGGTGGGGGGGCTCCTTGCCCATGGGGACCCGGATCTGCACTGGCTCGTCATTGTACTGCTGGTCCAGGATGACGGCCTGATAGGCTGAGGCGGCGATTTCATCCTGGCTAGCTTGTCTGCCCTGGTGGGTAAAGAGGGGGCAGGGGAAGAGAGGGGGACAGGGTCAGCACCCACCCCTGGCCTCAACAGCAGCTGCCTGCATTTCTGACCTGGCCTCCAACTCAGCTGGACGGACGGACTCTGACCTCAGTTGTCTACCCAGCCCCAACCCAATCCCTCCCATCTCAGCCCAGCCCTGACCCCAAACCTCATGGTGCCTTCCCTGGGGAAGCACCCCCCCACCCCCCGCCCAAGCAGCACCCAAGTGCTGCGCCCAGTCCCCTCCCCAACCTTCTCTCTGGACAGGGTGCTCATACCACAAGGCAGGGCAAAGGGAACATGGGGGTGAGGTGTGTGTGTGTGATGGGAGTGGACAGGAGACTCAAAGAAGCCAAGAGGAGCAGCGCTCGGGGTCAGCTCTCACAGCCGGCGGAGCCCTGAGAACAGGCTGCCTCTTGAGGGGGTACGCTCCCCAGCACCAGAGATAATCAACTCAGGGGTAAGGGCACTTAGCAGAGGCATGGTGGGTGGGCGGGGCCTGACCTGCCAGATGTAGAGCAGGTAGTGCTGCTTCTCTCCGATGAGGTAGGTGTAGAGCAGCAGGTAGCAGTCGCCCCCGTAGAAGTGTCCTAGCCACTTGGATTCCACCGGCACCAGCTCCAGGTCTTCAATGCGCCACATCTGGACACCACGGCAGGCCCCCCGTGTGAAGTGGAGGACAGGCTCCCTCACCCGTGCCCCACCCCACTGGGCCCTGTTCCCCTCGCCATACCTGCACCTCCCCACTCCCGTCGTCCACCATCTTCTGCTGGGCTGCCACCTGAGGCTGGATGTGCATGGAGGCGGCGTCAAATTTCACCTGTTCCACCTTGGCTGGGGTGGTGGGAGTCACGATAGCCCCGTCACCAGCTGAGGCCTGGCAGGTGGCTTGGCCTATCTGGCCCCCAAGTCCTCGTAACAGCCCCGAGGGTGGCTGTCATTCTGACACCCATTCTCCCGAAGAGGAAAGTGGGGCTGGAGCGAGTCAGTAGCTGGCCCAAGGCCACAGAGTTAGAGAGGCAGCACTCTGGACAGAGAACCATGGCTCCTGGACTGCATGTTTTAAGCGTGCCTGGAGTAGGGGGGGGGCAGACCCCTAGGAAGCCCAGCTCAACAGGGAGCACCCCCCACCCCCCAACCCCTGCACGTGGGGCCAGGGCTGAGACACCATCCTGTACTCCGCCCCCAGTGACCTGGTGCTGAGCTTGCTGACTGGGGCCAAGCCCAGTCCTTGTGAAAGACAGCAGCTCCCAGCCGGCGGGCTCGCTTTCAAGAATCCCTTGAGTGTTCGCAGATGCTGTCATGGCTACGAATAGGGCTTCTAACCACACAGCCAGCAGTTCAAGCCCACCAGCCACTCCCGGGAGAAAGAGGAGGCTTTCTCCTCCCATAAGGAGTTCCAGTCTCAGGACCTCCCAGGGCCAGTTCTACCCTGTCCTATGGGGTTGCCGTGTCTCGGCATCAAGCTGAGGGCAGCGAGTTGGTCTTTGGTCCTGTTTTGGAGTTGACCAATGTCCCCTTGTGTCCCCACTAGGGCCTGGTAAAGTCTTCTTGGGAAGGGAAGGGATGGGTAGGACAGGGTCAGGGAGCTCCCTTGCCCTGCTCCTGGTGCCCCTCCCGCTCGCCCCGGCCCTCACCCACGGAGCCCACAGTGTGGGTTTTCCCCAGGCCCGAGGTCCGGTTGGGCACCGTCCACTTCTGGAAGAGCTGCTGGAAGACGGCCGACTCGGCCCCATCGTTCTGCACCTCCACCTGCGTGCTCGGCGGGTACTGCTTGGCCTTGATGAAGTTCTGGATCGAAAAGGGGGTAGCTGGGAGCTGTAGCTCATCCCGAGACCCCACCCCTATGACAGCCAAAGCCGGCCAGGCTTCCCTAGCCCAAAGCAAACTCAAGGGCAGACCTAATGCTGGCCCCAAGTCCAAATTGGAGCCGAACCTAATCCCAACGAAGACCCCCAACTCCAAGTCCAAATATAGCCTTGCCTCAACTCTTGTCTTGACCCTCTGCCTCCAACCCCAGTGCTAACCCCAACCATCAATCAACACTGAGCCTAAGCAGTTAGGGTTACTGACTGCAGCCCAGGCAATGATCCCAAATTTGGACCAGACCAGACCAGACCAGCCTCCAGGCGCTAAAACAAAGACCAGTCTCCAGTTCTCCTTTCCCTGGTGCAGGTCTGAATCCAGAGGAGGAGGGCTCCCCTCCTGAGGCGGGCCCTGGGCTGTAGGAACAACCACTTCCCCTAGCCAGATGGCCACCGAATAGACCTCACCCCTTGCCCAGAGTCTCCCCCTGGTGCTCTGCCCATTCTGAACCCCAATGTCCTTCTCCCTGAAGGTGTCTGAGCACCTCCCCTTGCTCTCCCTCCTCCTAGAGCCCCACTCATACCAGGGCCTGACTCATGGCTCCCTTCCTCTCCTCGGCATTGGCCTTCTTCCCCTTCCACACAAAGATCTTCAGGCCCCCCTGGTCCAGGATGTAACAGTCCTGCAGGTGAGAGGCAAAGACCCAGATGAGCGCCCCCAGGGCGGTGAGCGGTTGGGACTCTTGATGATCAAAGGTGGGGGGAGGAGTGGAAGAGAGGATTTCATATTCCTGTGGAATCCAGACTTTCTGGAGCCACTGAGGCTGGATCATTCTCCAAAAGGATCGCTTTGTAAGCTTCCGATCTGAACCTTCAGCCAACATTGTCCTCAGAAGCCATCTTTAAGCCAAACCACAAGTTAGCTTCAAAAGTAATGTCTGTCTTGTGTTCTCTAACTAACTAACCTATCTGTCATCGCACTGGAAACAGCAACTCAAAAGGTTACATGAGACTCTCAGGGGCCCTCTTAATAGAGGGGAAGAATTTGGAACCCGACTCGTAGCTTCCCTACAAGACAGGGTAGAACTGCCTCTGAGTTTCCGAGACTGTAACTCTTTAGGGGAGTAGAAAGTCCTGCCTTTCTCCCAGGGAGTGGCTGGTGGTTTCGAACTGCTGACCTTGCAGTGAGCAGCCCAAGGTGTAACCACCAGACCACCAGGGCTCCTTGGTCGCTATGAGTCAGCATGGACTTGATGACAGGGAGTCTGATTTAGGGTTGAATTTGGCCCCCAGAGCAAATGGTTGAAGCTCAGCTTGAAGAATGTAATTCCCAAAGCTGCACAGTACATGTGACATTAGTGGTTTGGTACCTGTCTTACTGTATATAGTCTGCCCCCCCACACACACACACACGTCAAATGTATAGGTATAGATCTAAAGTCTCTTCCCTTCCCA